CCAAACATTAGAAGAATGAAAAACAGTGTGGTCAAAGCCGGAAGAAGAAGCAAAAGGATAACCCAATCCCACCCCCCCGCGGGTCCTCGTTTTTTTTTTGGGTTTGGTTGGTCTTTTTTTCCCCCTTCTATTTACGACCCGTTTTCCCAAGACGGGAGGGGGGGGGGGGGGGGACGGTTTTCCTTGCAAAAACTCCCGGCCGGGGGGGGGGGGGGAGGGTACTTGGGTAAATTTTTGCTGGGTATGTGCCGCTGGCCTCTCAGAGCCCCTACCCCATTATACGGTCTATTCTGTGACCAATTATAGACCCCATCTTAGTCACTTTTGGGCAATTATGTAATTTTTGCGATCCCAACTCAGTCACTTTCTATTTTTATGAATTGACCCATATTTTAAACTGAAAGAAGAACACTTCAATTTTCACCTACAGTACAAACATTCTGGTACGTTTGCTAACCGTAGATATAAAGAACTGTCTTACCGCCAAAAATTCGAAAATGTGCGACCCCATTCTAGTAACTCTCTTGAAAATGCCACCCCGTTTTAGACAATCCAGTCGTGAAAATGCGACCCCATCCATGCAGCGGCACATCCCTATTAGCCTCTTATAAGGAAGTACCCCCCTGGGACTACCAGCGAATATTCCACCTTGCGAGCAGAGCTTCCTTTTGTCTTCTTGAGCGAGGAGGAGAAAAAGAGGCTCCAACCTGAATCACGTCAAGACTTTGAGGTCTCCAAATCCTGAACCTATTTCAAAAACCAAAAACTGTCATTTTCCACACCCATTTTCATACCAGACCTCTAAACAGACCTTGTCTCTAAGAAATTATGTCATCATTACTTTGATTAGAACGCCAAATAAAAGATTTCTTAAAATCCACTTCGAATTCGTATATTACTCTTTCTTTCTCGGTATTCATTTGGAACTGAAACAACAAATACGTTCATACACTCCCGTAGTTCCCTCGGAAACCATACCCGATTCCAGACCAAAATGGGCAAAAATTTATAACCGTTTTCAGACCCCCCCACCCCCGGATCTAATCCATTTACCTCCTCGACCGCAAAGTGTTATGGGAAAGAAAGTTCCAATATGGCTGCTTCATCGACGTCGGTGGGCACAGCAAGCGATGTATCCGAAGAAATACCTCCATGGGCACGCGGTAATCATTTGCGATATGTGGAAAAAGAAGTTCTTATTCCTAAAATTGTGAGAGAAAGAGCGAAGGCCAAATGTGATGATTTGGTTAAAGGTAAACAATAAAGACATTGATGTGAAGTATATGAAATAATTCATTTTTGAACTGCGGTTGTAGATGAGAGTGAAGAAGGATCATCGCAGTAAATTTTCCAATTTAAGCAATTGGAAAGAAGAAGCCTGATAATCACTCTAATATAGACATTACTACCGTTTCCATCAGGGATAAATCATTTAAAAATTGTACGTGACGGGAACATTTCTAAATCTCTTGAAACTGTTGGCAGGGTTGGGGTTTCTGCTCTTTTTTATGTTAAAAGTTGGGGTAAGCTCATGGTATTCTATTTTAGAGATGGAGGCCCTGAGAAATTTTCCCAGAGCCATAGAAATGGAGAGAGTGGTGGACGTATATTATTTGTTATGATTGCAAATGTATTAAAGGACAACTTTTTTGGTGATCTTAGTCAAGTATATGTTGTAGTTAATTTTTTATCTCAGGTAATTTTTATTTTTCCTTTGTTTCAACTTCATAAGCATACATTATCATACCCAAAAACAAAAGAAAAACAAAAATTACCTGAGATAAAAAATTAACTACAACATATATTTCCACCACCTTTTTAGCCCACTACTTCATGAGCTGACTACCCTGCGAGCAGAGGCTACATTTTTGCTGTGTTAGCTGGTGTGTGAAAAGAAGCGACAACTTTTCAATTTTCTATCGTGCATGCGCGAAATTCATCACGCGATTCGCAAGCAAAATTAATTGTCAGGTCTGTCGTCAAATGGCGCGAGTTTCGCGGGAATAAAAAAATAGCAACAACTCTCATCTGCTATGCAAGACTCACGCAAGACTCACGCAATGCTCTAAACTGGTCAAGAACAGTAAAAAGCGCGTTTTTTAAATTTATTCGTCCAGATTTCTGGATGGATTTGAACGGTTGTCGGCAGAGGCTACTTTTCGCACACCAGCTCACACAGCAAAAATGTAGCCTCTGCTCGCAAGGTATGAGCTGACAAGTAACGAGTATTAATACATCAGCCAATCAGAATGCAGGATTTGTAATGGAATATCAGGTGCACAATCCATTCAACCAACATTTCTGGAAATTTTTGTTTGAAGTTAAATGAAATGGTCCTTTTTGGTTCAGTCCTATGGAAATATTTGGGATCACCTGTGAAGGTGGTCCTCTTTGGCTTAGAGGACTGGCCCCGGTTGTTCAAACGCTGGATAGCACTATCCACCGGATAAAAATCTATCCAGTAAATGACGCAATTGGTTTCCCTAATACATATCCGCTGGATAGTGATTTATCCGGTGGATAGTGCTATCCAAGGGTTGAACAACCAGGGCCTGGTCCGACTGAAATTTCCTGTTCCATTCGGCCAGATTGTTGTTTCTGAGAACGACCTCTCTGTTTCCTGCTCACAATATCACTGACATGGTAAGCAATTAATCTTGTTTTGAAAAAGCCACTTGCAATTTTACTGCTGCAGGTTGAGCAGCTTTGTCCACGAAGTTTGACAATTGTTGGTACATGACTGTATCTAGAAATGTTGAATGTTTTTGCTACTTTCTTGTTAACCCTTAAACTTTAAATGTTGCTTGTTTGCTTGTTTGAGTTCATTGACTAAATGAGTTGTGTGGTTCCAAGCATTGTATTGATGATGAGAGTGTTCTCTGAAGAGTGAAGACTTGTTTGAAAGGGTTCAACAGGCCAAAAAAATGCATTGTAAAAACTTGCAGGTGAATTCTGTTGTGTTTCATGACTGTATTGTTGTCACTGATGATGTCACTGGTGATCAGTAAATTATTGGAAAATACCACTGACTCTATTCATTCATGGGAATTGTGGAAATTCCATCTGGAAATTTTGGTTGAATGGATTGCATCCCGAGTTAATCAGTCAAATGAAGGAGAAAAGCCATTTGAAAGTTTGAGTATTTTTACCTCTGTTTTTTCTAATTTTACAGCTTTTACACAGTGTGCAAAGTCAAGAACTGTGTCAGTAGTGTGGGCTTGCCGTAAAGAAAACCAAGCAATGAAAGATTGTATGACACACTAGTAAGTAAAAGGAACTCAATTTCAACCATGTATATCTATGTAAATCTAACATCTTTAGGTGGTGTGTAGGGTTGGTGTTGTAGAGATGCCAAACCCTGAAGATCTAAAATCTGGAGACTGTATTTTTCTCCCCCTTAAGGTTCCCACTATCAACACACCCAACCCTTGATAGACACAATTTGACTCAGTCCCCCCAAAATCATTATTGGGTGTGGGTCAGGACATTAAAGGTAGTTTTATATGAGGTACAGACCATTAACCCTTCAGGTCCCAAGAGTGACCAACATCAATTCTCTCCTAATAACAGCAGCAGATCATCAAGAGTAAAGGTTAGGAGAATTGCTAAATTGACTACCAAAGGCCGAATGCTTTGAACTTAAACCAAATTCTCTCAACTATTCTTAAAAGAAATGTATAGAGATTAGTCTGGAGAATTGGTATGTTGATCCTGGGGCTTAAAGGGTTAACAACAGTAAGTTTGCATACATGACTGTCAAGGCCAAATAATTTTTGTCAGTTGTGAAACACTTGGAAAAATGCCACCAGAAACCTTAATATAACATTTTTGAATTTTGGGGAAATTTGGGGAGTCCAAACTAGAGCACAGAAAAGCCCTAAATTTGATATTATCACTCTGAAGATGCGGTGACCCATAAAAAAGAAAGTTGACGTGTGTGGTGTTGTCTAGGTATGACGTCTGTCCTTTTGCTGTAACATGGTTTGTAGTAGAACTCATTATCTTTTTCCTTGCTCATCACATTCGGACATACTAAGACAAGGCATAAAGTGAGATAAAAGTACTATTAAAGTACTGTAGTGACATGGTGACTTAGGCTCACTGTAGTATATTAGCACATCTGTTGTCTTGTCTATGTTTCTGTGATATAAGTGACTGGTAGAAGCCGAGAGACTGTTAGCAGGGCAAAGCTCAAGTTGGTTATCAGTAGATTGTGAGAAATGTCACTGTTGTAGGTAGATTTGTTCTCAGGTTAGACAAGAATTTCTTTTGTCTTCTATGAGTAAGTTAGGCTGGGAAACAAAGGAAAATCTGAATCAAACTAGTTGAAGAATGGTTTAACTTGAGAGTGGATTGTAATTACAAAATGTTACAAAATCTTGATAAATTAATTCTCAAAAATTTTTGGATTTTTGATTCAAAGAGACCTGCCAGCATCAGTGATTGGTGTTATGTAATAGTATTTCTTTTAATATACTTCTAATTAAATTGTTTTACTGAATTTCCATTACTTAGTTACCAGGACAAAGACTTTGTAGAAGAATGTAAGGAGGAGTACCTAAAGAGAAGAGAAGATTTTCAAAAGCAGTATTCACAGTCTGGACAAGCAGCAGATTTCAAGAAGAAAGATTCAGTAATAATGTGAACTACATTCCTAGCAGTCCTTCAAGAGGAAAATTTTCCTACATGTGAGAAGAACTGAGATATTATGAAGAGGATTGTGTGGGAACCTGCTTGTCTTGTAAGAGGCAATCTTTTCATAACAGCCTTGAGCTAAGAGGCCACTTCAGGGACAAATTTGAGAAAATGAGCAAACATTTTAAGAACCTATGACATTTTGGTAAGCATAGAAGCAAAAATTTCATAAGAATGAGCTCAGGACTCTAGCAAAAATTTCACTGTATGTAAACTAAATCAGAGCATTCATTGCATCCTCAGTTTGGCCTTGTGAGAAATATTCATCTACTGACGTGGTCAAAAATAAAAAGTAGTATCACATACCAGTAAATAAATGCAGGACAACTATCTTGCTGGGGATAATTTACCTTCAATTTCCAACATCAATGAAATGAAAAAAAAAAAAGATGGTGGCACTTGATCCCTTTCCTGCCTTGCAGCCAGAGCGCCTTAGAGAGCTTGCTCACAGGCTATTCCTTGATTTATGGTCAGGGGATTCAATAAAAGCTGTTTCTAGTGGTCTACTGCCTATAGGCCCTCTACTGCTGTCTGTCAAGATTTTAGGGAAAAGGGTTCTTGCACCCAGGTTTCCTATTTATAGCCGCATGTTGATTTCACCATTGGCAGTTGCTAATGGAAAAAGTTATTGAAACACCAAATCTGAAGAAAAGGAGAATAAAACACCGATAACACTTGACAACGAAATTATATACTGTGCATGAAATGGTTTAGTGTGTAAATGCCACATGAAAAAGAAATTCATCAGAACCTCTTTAAAACTCTGAATATTCCAGGTACTTTTGATAGCTAAAGGAAGAGTGTTCCCCTGTGAGGGGCCAACATGAGGAAAGGCCCTGTCCCTGTGGGTCTTGCACTCTGCTTTGGGGACATTTAATTTGTAGCTGCCATTTGATCTTAGGATGATATGTAAGCAACATCCTCTTTGAAACTTACATGTAGAAGCTTCTTCAGCTAGACAGGTGGTACACCACAGAGAGATTAGAAGACCATTAGCAACATTTTGTGCTGAATCCGACTGGCCACTGGTAGCCGAAAGAGATCACTGCTGGGGGGGGGGGGGGGGGGGT